CCCCGGCCCCCCGCGGCGGGGGAGGCAGCCGAGGCCCCCGGCAGCAGGCAACGCTCTCCCTAGCGGCTCGCGCCAAGGACCAAAGCACTGACGGGTTCAGGCCCCGTTCCTAACCGGGGTATGGACACGGGGAGCCGCGCTGCACGGAGGAGAAGCCCTCGCAGGTACAGCGGCGCGTTCTCGGGCTGCGTGCAGCTCCGCAGCGGAGCGCAAGGCAGGCAGCGCGGCCTCCATCGCTCCTGCTTTCCCGACTCCCTCCTCACCGCCCTTCCTCCGCGTGCCGTTCAAACTGATCCAGGCCTGGTGCCATTTCACCGTTTATCCTGGGCATAAATGGGACCTTGCTGAGTGTATTCAAATAGGCAAAAATTAAACACCACGGGGCCACAGAAAATTCAAAGAATGGCCCCTATACCAGGTTGGGAGCAAACTGCAAAAATGACAGAGCTTTTGCTGGGATGCTGGTGCCCTGACCCACACCTAGGGCCCCAAATCGGTTTCCCATGCCTGCTCCCCTTTCTCTGAGCCTACAAACAGCACGATGTCCCCACGCCTGTCAGCTGCAGCCATTTGGTGGGTTGCAGCATCCTCTAATTGCTCAGGGCCCTCTAATTGCTGCAGACTCCAGAGCAACCGGCCAGCTCCCTCCCAGGCCGCCCTTCCTCCCGGCCAGGCAAGGCAAGGCCGCCACATCCGCATCTGCACACACCAGCACAGCCCATCCCCAGGGCAGAGGCAGACCCTTTGCTTGCTTTCATTTCCAGAAAGCTGCATCAATTCACGACACAAACAGCCCCTGGGGCATCTCCCCGCGTCCAGCTGCCCCCTCGGGCCCCGGGGCAGAGCACGGGAGCATCAGCAAAACCACTCAGCCCTCAGCATTTGCTGCAGCAGAAAGAAAACCGGCTAGGAAAACAAAAATTTAACATGCTAATACAAACCAGACTGCATTTGGGTGCACACACAGCACTGGCATGGAGCGTTTGCCTTTAACCCCCCCCCCCCCACAAGCACGCACGTTCAGACCAGGCAATCACCGCATGAAATAACCGCACAAAAACATGTCACGCATCCCCCAGCTGTCCGATCCGCCCCACCCCGCGCCCGCGGGGCTGCTGCCCTCCCCGCATTGCCCCTTCGGCCCCTTTCTCTCCCCTGCCGTCTCCCCCTTACCAGCTTCCTTCCGCTCCTCTGCTCCTCAGAGGTCTCATCCTGTGCTGCACGCCTCTGCTCGGGCACCATTCTCCCCCCTCCTGTCCCTGCTGCTCCCTGGCTCACACCGTGCTATAAATACACCCTGTACCTTCAGCCTGGCGGGGTGGCTGCGCTGTGCCTGCGTCCGGGGAGAAAGCAGCTTCTCCACTAACCGCTCCTGAATAATGATCGAATCCATAACCGCGGCCGGCGGGGCCGACAGCCGCCGGCGGCCAAG